CAATCTCAGTGCAGTTTTTCTTTTTCCTCCGCTCTTTTTCTTCAGCCTGGTTGGGCCGCCACATGAGTGAAAACAATGCAGGAATAAAGAACGAGAAACAAAATTGGAAAAAGACAAACAACAACATACGACCTTCTTTTCGTTCCATGTGATGGCAGCAGATCCAGCACTTCAGTTTTCAAAGAGGCCGGTACCCACTCACTTTCAGGCTAGGCAAAATGCATTTTTTGGTTTGCCAAAACAGGGTGCGGGTGAACTGGTGGTTTATAAACCCTTTACACGACAGGTACATTCCTTTAAAGGCTCAAATTTTGAACCCCTTTTGACCCCATCTACACTCTCAAGCGCCGCCCATAAATGACCACATTCAAAGATAAGGCTGCCTGGAGTCTTACCGCTCAGACCAACTGCAGATCTGGCCTGAGGTCAGGCTCGGCAAAATGCGTTTTTTGGTTCGTCAGAAAGGTGCGGGGGAACCAAAAAACTCTTAAAAGGGGTTTAAACCCCTTTTAACCACCCCTTTTGACCCCATCTACACTCTTAAAAAGGGTTCCAAGTTTCAACCCCTTTTAACCACTCCTTTTGACCCCAAATACACTCTCAAACCGCCCATAAGTGAATCATGACCGAATTCGAAGACGAGTCTGGATTCTCACTGCTCATTCCACCCACAGATCTGGCCTTAGGCCAACTTTGGTACTTCTTCTTTTTATTTTCTTCCCGCTGTTTTAACTTGCCCCGGTTTACCTTGACTTTCTTTCCCCCACCCTTTTTTTTTTTTTTTTTTTTTGGATCATTTCTCGAGTTATGTGTGTCATCCCTGCACAGGGGCCATGCTAATCGTCATTCTCTGTATTGTTCCAATTTTAACGGATGTCCTGAAGGACCCCTTCCCCTATTTTTGCTTTACCAGGGGGGGGGTTACCAGGATGGGGTGTCGCCATTGGTGTGAAAATATATTATTGAATATATATGCTATTATGCTTTGGTCTTTGAATTGTCCCGCAGGCATTGAAGCTCAGTGATGATTACAATCTTAATGAGCTGGATGCAGTGTCTCTCCTTGTGGCTGCGCACCAAGAGGTTCGTTTGTTTTTTTAACTTTTTTCCTTTTTTTGGACGAATATGGTGCTCTTTTTTTTTTTTTTTTTTAACTAATGAAACTTATTTCTTTCTTCGATCAGTTTCTGTCTCCAATGATGCGTTAGGATTAGCCATACTTTTTTTGTTTTATAAATTCATTTTGAAGGCTGTCGATTGGTCCACAACTGCCAACTACTGTGTACCGTCGTCTCTTGCTTAGCAGGTGATTGACAACCACCGCGTACTCATCAGCTACTTGGAAGGGACCTGCAACTTTCTGTCGGTTCTCTCTTTCTCTTCACGAGCTCCGTTTGTCTGTTACATGTTGTGTAGCACGGAGAACGTGTTGGATATGGTGTTTAGCTTGAAGTGTTTCCCTTTTCATACACCATATCGATCCACTGTTTAGCTTGAAGTGTTTCCCTTGGTCAGCAGCTGATTGACACACACAGCGGATCGATTCTCTAAGTGTTGGATATGGTGTATGGAAAGGGAAACACAATCACCGGGCATCACCGGAACCTCAGTACTCGAGCTCTGTTTGTCTGTTTCATGTTGTGTAGCACGGAGAACATGTGTTCGCAGGTTTCGCGAACACGGGAAAATGTTCTCCCGTACGTGAGAGACTGTTTTTTAGAATTTTTATAACTCACATTTGGTGAAGAATTTGATGATGCCTCCCAGGCAAAAGTTGTTTGATTATTAATTTTCCTAACAATGATAACAAATATTTTGTTTCATATGATTCGTGGGCTATCCGGGGCCGCCTGGGTCACCTTGTTTGACCGGGCAGCCTGGCCGTGCAAGGACCATGGAAGGGTCCAGCCAAAAAAATAATAATAATAAAAAAAATCCGGACAGAAAACTATGTGATGCAGAAAAATAAACTGAACACCTTTTGCCTCAAGGTCACATCGAAATTCTTTACCAAATTAAAAATACAAAAAAACAAATAAAATTGTTGTTATTTCTTTAGTTATTTAAACTATTTTTGACCCGGCCGGGCAAGTTGCCCCGGGCCAGGATTTTTCAGATAAAAAAAAACAAAAATAATCTCAATGTTCGCGTTCTCCAACTTTTGGAGTACGTACACGTACTCTGGAGTATGTACACGTTCTCCCCCAGCGCGCTAACGGGGTGCTACAAAGAACTTAAATGCCAGCATGTGGCAGTTTTGCCTCCACACACGAAAAGAGGTTGTCTTTGCACATGCAGGCAAAGCTGTATGCACCAAAAAGAGAGCTTGAGTGCACAAAAAATGTTTTTTTTGTTTTTGGCCTTCAAGCTCGCTTCTTGGCTCATGCATTCGCCTGGATGCGTAACAAATGCCGTCTTTGTGTATACAGGGAAAACCAGAAGATGTACCCAGCCCGTGTGACTGAACGGTACACCCATGAACTGTTGATAAGCAGACCTGAGTCCGAATCCCGATGGAATCATAATTTCATATGGATGGAACAGTCGTGAAGTACCTGGGGCCATCGGTTTGATGAGAACGCCTCGTGGCAGTTGCCCTTTTTCATTATTATTTTTAAAGGAACTGGCTAGATACTCCACCGAACATCTGGTGGCTCCCTGTGTATGTGCAAAAGAGAGGTGCCATCTATCGCTCCCCCAGTGCCACCTTCTTTGGAGCCTGGATTAGGCCCTATGTGCAAAAAATGTTGTTTTGGTTTTGTCTTTTACTGTGGAATGCCTTGCGGTCGAGCTGTTTGAAGCAGACTGTGTATCTGGTATCCTGAGGTGGGCACCAACCACAGTGTGTGTGTGTGCGTATGTGCGTGTGTGCGCTCCCTCCCTCCCCCGCAACTTGCATCCTGAGGTGGGCACCAATCATTGCCATCGAGGCTACCTGTAATGAAATCAAAGCAGACCATCACCCACCCACACCAGACAGAAGACGCGACAAACTGTAGGTTCACACCCCATGACAAGGCAGCAACCCCCCCACAAATAAACAGGTGTAGGTATTCCCCAGCCAGCAAATACACTCTGTACGCACTGGTGGTACTAGAGGCACAACATGACCGTGTAGCGACAGCCCAGGCCGCTGATATGCAACCTGGCCAAAGAAAACCCATATCCTGAGGGCTAGCGAAGTTGTATATGTGTATGTATATATATATCATGGATGCCCTGGGATGAAGGATGTAAGGGCAAGTTAAAAACCGACCAAGAGTTTTGTCTGTGAGATTGTTTTTCACAGCTGATAAGTGCTTGTGGGTAGTGGGTCGACAAATGAAATGTAAACGCAGTCGTGTGCAAAAACTGAATGCGGTTGTGGTGCTTGTGTCCAGTGGAGCATTGTGGGACGGGACCCGGTGGAAGTCTTACAAATGGCTGCTGGTATATATTTGGAACAAAGGCGCTGCCTCTTGACGTCGTTGATGCTACTGCTCAGAGTAAGTGCATGCCTGCAGCTATATATGGACACACGCTTTTCTTGTATATGCCTGGGGTGGACTGCTGCCTTTTCCTTTATTTTCTCCCTCTCTCCACCCCATCTGGGCCTTATTTTTTTGCTTATTTTTTTTTTCTTCCTGCCTCTTTTGCTGCATCCTCTTCTCACCCCTTCTTTGATTTCAGGCCTGACATAGGTGGGTGGCAAAGTACTTTTTCTTTTTTTGTTTTTTTCTTTTCTCGTGGTTTCGGCCTTTGGCCGCGGCTATAGCAAAATGTTCCTGTTTTGCGAGTGGTGTCCAACAAGGCTGTTTCTTTCACCTGTTTTCTGGTGCATTTTCGCACCTTCTTCTGAGTTTTGTTCCTTTTCAGATCGGTGTTCTTGCCCCTGTTCACACTCTGGTGTCCTCTTTTTTTTCTTGTGTGTTTACCTTCCTACCCTTCTCTTTTCTTGCTCTGCCTACGCGGTTACTTTTTTTTGTGGATTTTTTTTGTTTTTTTGGTTGTTTGTTACCTACCTGTCTAAGCATACAGCTGTCATCGATTTTTCTTTCACCTGTTTTCTGGTGCATTTTCACACCTTCTTCTGAGTTTTGTTCCTTTTCAGATCGGTGTTCTTGCCCCTGTTCACACTCCGGTGTCCTCTTTTTTTTCTTGTGTGTTTACCTTCATACCCTTCTCTTTTCTTGCTCTGCCTACGCAGTTTTTTTTTTGTGGATTTTTTTTGTTTTTTTGGTTGTTTGTTACCTACCTGTCTAAGCATACAGCTGTCATCGATTCCCCTCTGGCCATTTGTCATGGCTGTTTTACCACCTTTCTTTTTCTGAATTTCATTTATCTAGAATTCTGAAAGATGAACGAGGGTGGCTGAAATCCATTTGACTGAAGTTTGGTTGCTGCTACTGCACGAGTAAGATGCACCAGGCATGCAACTTGGCGGCCTGCTCGCGATTTCAACATCTGTTTACCATCTTGTCAGTGACACTGGAATTGACGTCAACAAGGGTGCGGAATCGGGGGAGGGGGATCAAATCCCGCTGCCTCAACAGCCCTCCCTCTCAGTGTGATGAACTGCCTCCCAGTTTTGGCCTACTTGGTCTACCCTTGTAAAAATCCTGATCTGGAAGGCCTATTATGAACTGAGCTTACAGAGATCGTGCTTGCAGGTCTCAGGTTTGAATCTTGGCACCATTGTGAATAGCAGAAGGCTCAAAACTGTGATAAAAAGAGTCGGGGCAGGTTGCAGGTTCAATTCCTACTGCGCCCAACACACAGAGCAAGAACACAGCCACCGAGAGCGTACCTTGGCGCAGGCAGTACATCCATAGCTTAGATAAAAAGAAAGACACATTCATAGCATGGGCAAGCAAAATCAAATCGGATATAGCGATCTTGAGAAGAAGTTAGCGAAAGGCAGCGTTTGGTCAGACGTCATAGACTTCTCCGACTGCTAGCTGCAGTGGTCATTGCACCATCTCACGCACGGGAGGCTGTTTGATTTTTCCAGGTTGTTGTGCTAGAGCAGGACCTCCAGCCTGATGTCATTGCAGATGTGAGGGATTATGTGATGGGCCTCCTTGCCACTGGTCTGCGGAAGAGAATGATCACACTTGTGAAGGTGCGAGTCCGGCTGAGATTCTTTCCCTTTTTCGTCCCTATTTTCTCAGGCCTGTCTGGTGGCTGAATGGTACTCGTGTGATTGTTTGTTTCGCTTGACCTGGCTGGTGGCGTAATCCTCCTTCATTTTGGCCTGCAATCGGCATGCCATTTGTAGGGGGTGTATGGTGGGCATGCTCAATGCCAGCGGTCGGGGCAATCGTTGTGCTAGAATGGCCAGCTAGGTGTTCCATGTGTTTCATCCTCCTGATCCTTACAATGTGTGTCCTCTCTGTCGTCAAAGGGCAGACTCATTCTTGAGCCTTTTCTTATCCTCTCCTGTGCCTTCATCTTCATTCCAAACTCCGTACTTTACCTTGCTTCCCCTTACTTTCCCTTTGTCGTTCGTTATTTGTCTCCTCTCCATCTCTCTTCCCCGTGTTTATCCCCTCCCCCCTTACTCTGCCTCTTTCTCACAGCGTACAAGTGGACCGTTCTTGCGCACGGGGATGCGGGCAGCTCGTGCTCAACTTCGTCAACATGGCGAGCCTTGTACGTGAGAGGCACGGTGAAGGGGGAGTTGAAGAAGAGTGAGAAAATGAATGGTTTCGGTGTGCCCTTCATGTCTGTCTTGTTTTTATTTTTATTTTTTATTTTTACTGTTTATTTAAAAAATTGCGCTCTTTTAGTTCATAGATATGTGACAATATATGTCTGTCCCTCTTATAAACAGAACATGAGATCAAATCCACATGCATGCAATGATGTTATGGGCTAAACCGCCTTAAACCACCAGTACCCTGCCCAGCTGCCCTGCATGCACCTGCCGGTTAACCAACCAGGTGTTGTGCATACGCTTGGCATACCAGAGGTTGGCGGCCTTAGGGAGGGGGTGCAAAATGTTCAGTGTCCCCAGTGTGGTGTATTTTCACTCTCATCTCCTTCTCCAGCAAATCTGAAAAAAAATCATGGCCGTAAAGTACATGCCACTGAATAAGGGAAAAATATCTTAAAATTTTAAATATAATGAAATTGTTTTGCCTTTCAAAGAGAAGTTCTCTGGGAATCACGCTGCATATTCATGCCAGACCCAGCTTGGAGAAGGGCTTGGTAATCCAGCGGTGGGCAAGGTCCAGCATCGGGAAAATGAGACTCAAAGGTACTGATGGTTTTAAGGGGAAAAAATATGATGTTTTCTTTGGACATGAAACCTGTTGCCCTTCTTTTTATGTTTTCAGATTACTGCGTATTCTATTTGCTAACATCAAGCGTTTTATGTGTTTTACGTTTTTTTTTTTTTTTTTTTTTCAATCGTCAAAGGCAGACTTATTTGTTTTGCTGTTTGACAATAATTTATTTGTTACAATTATAGTATTAGGTCCGTTAGAATTCGTCTTTTACTAGACTTTTAGCAGTGCACCGGTACATGGCCCCAGCCAAGTTGAGAATCCGATCAAGCCTCTCTTAAAATTTCGGAGGTTCGGGGCAGGGCATCCGAAGGGCCAGTACAAAAAAAAGTGTCCCATGCCGTGGGGTAGCACCAGGCCCAGCCCTGAATAAAATAAATAAATAAATAAATAAAATCTGTCCGCCCCAAAGTAGCCCCTGTCCGGAGTCCCCTAACTTTTCGGATAGGGGCTCATTCAGATTCTCCAGATGCACTGGTGGTTTACAGCTGGCTGTAAATATAGCCTCTGTAGGCTAGGTCGGCTTTTTTTCTTTTCTTTTCTTTTCTTTTTTTTGTTCTTCTTTTTTTTCTTTTCTCTCTTTTCTTGTCAGCTATACATGCTCTTGTGGCTCAAGCTCAAGAACCAGTGAAAAGTGGTGAAGTGGTAATTCATAAGACTTAAAGACTCCCTTTTCTGCATCCTCTGGCTATTGATTTCTCCTCTGGTTATTGCTTTCCCCTCTGCTCATGCTTTCTGGTTGTTGCTCTCTGGTATGTAAGGCTTCCCCCCCCCCCTATCGAATCCAGAGCAATTGCGGATAACGGGAATCAAACCTATTATTGCTTTCTGGTTACTGAATCCCTTTGTGGTTGATGCTTTCCCCTGTTCTGGTTCTTGCGCTCCCCTCCAGTTATTGTCTTCTGGTCTTTGTTCTCTCATCTGACTAATGCTTTCACATAATTTTTTTTTTTGCCTCTCGGTTGTTGCTTTCCCCTTTCCGGTTAATGCAGGAGTTAGGAAGGGAGGAGGGTGGAGGTATCGGTGCGCCAGAGGCTGAACCGCATGTGATGGACATGAGGGGGGTGTTGGTTGAGAGGAAGTTAACAGTTCATCGTGAAAGGGCGCTTCTGTGTCAATGCATCATATACTCTTGCCTGATAGATTCTATAGGTAATTCAAAAGAACCTATCCTTTGTCTTTTGGGGGTGGAGTCGTGTATTTTGGGCACGCAGCTTGAATCTTCTTGAACCTTTGCCAAACCTTTTGAAAACTTTGACTGCAGTCCTTCCCTTCCCCATGCTCAGTCAATTTTTGCAGAACTTTGTATATCCTGCAAGCAATTTTGAAAGGGCAGCTGTGTGTCGATGCATCACCCACTCTTGCCTGATAGATCCTGTAGGTAATGCAGCACAGCCTAGCCTTTGTATTTTTGTTATTATTATTATTATTTTTTTTTCACTCTTTCGTTTTCGGGGCATAGTGTTGGATCTTCTTGAGCCTCTGCTATGTTTTTCAACTGTTTCAGAGCAGTCGAAACCTTACCAAAATTCACTCAGTTTTTGCAGAGATGGGTACGCTGTCCCGGGTTTCATTTCCCTTGCCTTCGTTCTCCTGTGCCATTCTCACCAGCGAACTGCGATGACACAGTTTTACGGTGTTACCCCTGTATTCTTCATTCTGGTGCAGGCATCCCTCCCTCTCCTTGCTATCTGTTTGACTGGTTTGCATTGAGCCTCGTCACCTTGAGCACACACACACACATTGAGAGGCCACACGAAATCAAATCCACACTGGAGACCAGAGGTGCAAAGTCCAGAATAGCACAGCTTAGAAATTCCAACAAATTATCATATTAAACAGTTTCGGAGTTCCAGCCACCAAGCGCGCAACAGCGCAGAGTTCAGCATCTCGTCTCCAGCATCCCCATCCAAGGTAGGTGCCTCTCGTCTCCTTGCCTCTCTGTCTCTGTCTGTTTCTTTCTCTCTCTCTCTCTCTCTCTCTCTCTCTCTCTCTCTCTCTCTCTCTCTCTCTCTCTCTCTCTCTCTCTCTCTCTCTNCTCTCTCTCTCTCTCTCTCTCTCTCTCTCTCTCTCTCTCTCTCTCTCTCTCTCTCTCTCTCTCTCTTCTTCATGCATGCGCTCACTCTCTCCCTCTCTCTCTCTCTCTCTCTCTACGTGGGGATCTTGACTCTTGAGTACATCTGCTACTTCTCAGCTCTACTCCCTACTGCTAGCTGTGCGGCTATGGCCGCTCCCTTCTTCCATACAGGGCTGCTCCTTGTGGGCTCCAGCGCTAGCTACCCGCAGATAGCGCACAAGTGCCAGCAGCACTTCCACACTTCTTGCGAATGAGCCATCTGTCTGAAATGCGACCGGCCAGTCCTTATATTGACTTGGTCTCGACCTGGATTCGTCCCAGCCTCTGCTTCACTTGGCTTGTCTTGGACCCGGTACCACATGCCCACGGCCTATTTGCTTCAGAATGTGAGGCTCGGTACCTTTTGGGTTTTTCTTGGTGTGATGCCGCTTTGGGACTGTGGGACATGACCTTTGTCTGTTGAATATGATTTTTGACTGCGAGATGTGACTCTTGCCTGCGGGACATGACTTTTGACTTTGAGACATGACTTTTACTTATGGGATGTTACTTCTGCCTCTTGGATGTGACCGTTGACTGGGTACCTGTTGGACTTGACTTCTCGGGTACCCGACTTAACCTTTCTGAAACTGGCCGACTCGGCCTCCTTTAGCCTGGCGACTTGACCCCGAGATTCGAATTTGGGGTCTGCATCATGGAATGCCTTTCAGCTTGCTCAAAAGTGCTTTTTTCTTTTGTCCTGGTTACCTGGACCTGGACCTGGTATATGCATCCAGCCTCTCCTTGTGTTCCTGTCACCTCGTTTGCTCTCGAGTTACTGCCTACACACCTCCTCCTGTTTTTTCATCGCTTAAATTTGCATTGAAATTCTGCTTACTCTGAGCTATTTGTGCTGTTGATGCATGATTTACAGCTCCATCAACTGCGAAGGACTTGTTTGCGCTGCTAAAAGATTGTGCCTTAGATTGGAGTCGAGATCAATCGAAGGTCAAGCGTCAGGTGAGTGCCTTGGCATTTTGTCTTTATTGGATTTGGAGCATGTCTGTGTAATGGGTGGAATGTTGTGTGGAGGCAGCCCTAAGTATGATCACTTGTGTTCTTGTCCATCGCTCTTTTCTTTTTTCCGGGACCGCTTCCTCTCCGCATTTTCGTTGAACCACCACTACGTCCGAGACTGTTTTTACTGATCCGAAACTGTGCTGCGCGCCAAAGGAAAAACAAACCGACATGGGCGGAGTTTCTTTTCTTTTTGGCTGGTGACGCCATCCATTTCGGTCCACGGCTTATGTATGCAACATACGATACATGCAAGCGCACGCCGTGCGGAAAATTGAGCACGCACGGCGTGCGAGTGCACCCGCACGGTGCGGCACACGGGGGAGCTAGGCACCCAGAAAAGAAAGGGGGATCGCAGCAGAGCTCGCAGACTCCTCCTACAGGCACACCTGACCCATATTGAACAGCCATAATATTTGGCAGCCGCAGCCCGCCACAACTGCAGGTTAAAAATCCTGACAACCTGGCCCAGCTGCAGCTGGGCCGAATTTGAGCGTACAAACCTGGGCCCGCCCGAGCCCAGACCTTGAAGAAGAATTGCAGCCGGACCTGCCCAGACCCAGACATATTTTTCACCACCTGCTCCCATCCAGGCCCTTAAGCACAAGCCCACCTGCAGCCGCCAATAACTGGCATTTTTTTCACTACCCTCACCCGCCCGTACCCGGCATTGCTTTTCCAAGTTTTCCCACCCATATTCAGCCTGACCATTCCCACCGATACAATTGGTGGCCCTGACAATATAGAACCCTCTTGACCAACCATTGGAACTCGAGAACAACTAGGTACATGAATGACATGTGTCTCGGGACAATTGCACATGCCTTATACGAGTGGGAGAAAAAGAGTCATGAGACAAAATTCAAAGCATATCAAGGTCACACCTCCAGCAAACCGGCGGTCCGTTTAAAAAACCAGAAATCATGAAAAATCGGGGCGGGTAGCCCAATAGACATAGATGCATGGGTGTAGACCCCCACATGCATACATGCATAATATTGCATATCTTTTCGGCGGGTGACCCGAGCCAACTCTAGACCCGCCCACACCTGACCATTTTCTTTCTTGTTTACAAAATGCCACCCACCACTGTCCCCTCTTTTTTCACCACGATTGCCCCCAAGCCGGCCCAGGGCCATCCTCCCATCACCTGGCCACATGGGACATGGGCTAGCCAGACCTGCCCGCAGCTGTTGGGTCCGGCCGGGGGCAGCTGGGCACGGCTACGGCCAGCCATTTGTAGGCTCTGGGTCGCAGGCCTGGATCAGGGGTCACCTGCGCCTCCTTTGAAGTTTGTTTGTGGGATGTGGGGAAAAAACTAGTGGGAGAGTAATATCGCCACCTAATTGTCAAGACTGATGTCCCAGAGACCTATTTGAGGCTATCTCATGCCCAATTGGACAGCGAGAAAAAATTATGACTGTACTTGGAAAGGATCTGTTCCTTAGGTTGTGCAGTCTTCTTCTTCTTCTTCTTCTTCTTCTTCTTCTTCTTCTTCTTCTTCTTCTTCTTCTTCTTCTTCTTCTTTAAAAAAAGGGTGACTTCCTTGAGATAAGATCATTGAACTGACCGGCCCTAGGTAATTCAGAATTGTAGAATTTTACTCATCTGCTTCCAGTGGGGTTTGAACTCAGGTCTGTGTTTCAACAGTTCAGGGGTGTACCGACTGAGCTAGGCCAGGTGGGAGGTGGTGCAGTCTTCTGTATCCACAGAAACAGCAAAAATAAAAACAAAGAAACTACTGCTGGTATGGTGCACAGGCAGATGACGCACCGCACGATGTGCTGCGGACCTGACAGTGGGGCGCACGGTGCGGTCTCAAGTATGAAACATACTCATATTTTTTTTGCCTGGGGTGTGTAGTGGTGGTTTAATGGATGATGGATTTCAAGTTTTCAACTGAAAGAACAATAATAGAAAAAAAGGACAACTGTCTGTTGACGTTTTCATCTTCTTCTTTTTTTTTCCTTACAAGGGAACATTGCTCCGATCTATTCGTTGGGGAGCTTCATGTGCTGGAAACCGGGCCCAGCATCCCTTATGAACATTGAACAAGTGGAAAATCTGATAGTTACTGGGGGCCTTACCCGGCTGCCCATCTACTGTGATTTAGTTGCAAGCCGATTACCCAGGTGGATATCTGATCATACAGATCTTTGAACAGCCAGGTATCCAGGATGACTTTCTGCTGACCGTTGATTATCGTGATGGAGCTGCACATTCACCAAATCCCTTGAAACCACTTCAAGCATGCTTTCCCGATTGTGTAATTCAATAACCTTCCGCCGCCAGTCTGCAAGAATAGCTGTTCTCAGCAGTCATGAAAAGGTCGAGCGAATTTGTTTGTATTTTTTTTTTAATTTATAATTATTATTATTATTATTTTTTATTTTTTTTCACCCATAATACCCAGCCCCTTCTATTCTGGGGTGCATCAGTCCGGTTGCTCATCACCGGCAAGCCTGGAAAAACAAAATACAGTTTGATTGAAAAGAGAAGAGGAAAGCCTTACCCTTGCAGCCCTAGACGCCTCTCAAGGGGGAGATTGCTACAACCAAAGCCCACTTCCCATACCATAGCCGTCCCAGGGACACCTCTGTTGGTCGGGAAGCTTCCTAGCAGCACCCAGTCACACAACAGACGGGTCCCCAGGAGAGGCCTAGGTCGGGGGGGCTGTTCTAGCAATCTCACGAGCCTCTCATCATGTTAAACCCTTCCTCAGTGTCCCTATTAAGAGCCTCTGGGCACCATCTAATATTTACATCCTCATACCACCCTCAAATCTCCACTTCGCAGTCCTTTATACAACCTGCCCCAAGTATCTCTGATATTCTCAAGTATCGTCTACGTCTAAACCCTATCAACTTTATGTTTTATGTTTTATGTCTATCCGGCTGATATGTTTCCAACCTCACTCTTGCCTTATTTGCCCGCCCTCTTCTGAGGGCAGTAGGTTTCTCTTGTCTCATCATGGAGAATCCTTGCTGAACCCCTATGGCCAAAATAGGCCCCTTATTCTGAGTTAAACTAAAAACCGTCGCAAATGCCTGAGACCAGGTGGACCATCCCTATTCTAGTGTAGTTGAAACTACTTGAAGCTTATCCTCAGCAGTATATTCAACAGCATATTCAACACTCAAAATATATCCCATGTCCCTTCCTCTGTCATCCCCCCTTTTTTCCATTTTCCATTGTTTGTATTTCAATGCTGCCCAACATATATTTTTCCCGGTTTGTCTTTTTTTCGTTTGGGAAATCGAGATTTGCAAAGCATAAGGGCCCTCGGCCCGGTTGCAAAGGGCCTGCACCTGCAGAGAAACTCTCTGCGCCCGCCCTAAGTGATGGCGGGCCTACCAGGAAATCGCTGAGGCCTGAAAAGAGGCTGAAGTGAGCATGCAGGGGCCCGTGGTTTGGTTGCTACACACATCATCTTCGACCAACCGGTAGGCCCAATCGGTTGAAGCATCTGGGCCCAGGGCACTTACAGTTGAGCCCCAGGCACATTCTGTAAGGGCGCAGCTACTGGGACAGAGGCCTCCCATCAAGATTTTGCCTCACCCAGCCAGCACGAACAAAGGAAGTGAGGCTGCCTCACTTCACACATTCCGGCTGGCTGAACGGCGGCAGTGCTGCTGGAGTGCTGGCTTGCTGGACGAGAGTCGGATGGAAAGGAAGAAGGGCGGCGCTGGAGGGGTGCGGGGAAGTCGCTGTGAGGGTGCAGTTGGCAGTATGCAGCGGCCGCAGCAGTGCGGCGTGTGCCATAGTCGAGGGAGGATGAGCGCGTTGAGCGGAGGTCCTCGAGCAAGGCACTGTGAAAGGCAAGGCGAGGTGTTGTCTATGTGAGGTGGCACGTACCTGGTGATGGTGGAGTCGCCCAAGACACATGGAGCCTTCTTCATGTGTCATCGGGCTGCTGTACTTCATGCATGCCCTGTTGTAAATAGACGTCTAGGTCGATAGGGGTCGTCTGATTGTAGTCTGGGCAGCGAGCGCCATGCAGGAGAGCGGCATTGTGGACATTGGTGTTGAAGGCGAGAAGAGGGCTTTCATTATCATTTGATTTTCAGTGCTTTGCTCTCACTTATTTGATGTTATCTCGTCGTGCAATTTGGTTTCAATTTGGACTCAAGTTATCTGGATTTCTATGGAATGCTGCAATTTGGTTAATTGTCGTTCACATTGCTCATTTTCCTTGCAGATTTGAGAACAAACAAAAGAAAGCAATTTGATCTGGACAGCTGCAAACATCTGGATTACTGACCCTGGAGCACGAACTACCAGGAACCCGGCTTGGGGGTCTGGATGGTAGCCATGAAAATTAAACATTTAAGGGATGATGAAATAGGTAGAAAAACAAAACAGAATGCACTTGGTGTCTTGTTTTTCTAGTTTACAACTAAAGTTGCGCTGGTGTCCCATGTTTGCAGATCGCATACACTGTGATGTTTGCCTTGGTGAATTCTTTGATATCAGATTCTTTGGGAGGAATCGAAGGGGACGTGTCCGTTCTGGCAGCTGATGCGGGATTTCGACATGATTTTCATGAGCAGGTCGGTAAGTGTTTCTGCAAAGTGATGCGTGTGGAAAGGGTTGCTAACTTGCTAGGCCTAGGTGGTTAGGGGAAGGAGGGATGCTGGGAAAGGAGAGGGACTATGATGCGTGTGGAAAGGGTTGCTAACTTGCTAGGCCTAGGTGGTTAGGGGAAGGAGGGATGCTGGGAAAGGAGAGGGACTATGCTTGCAACATTGTGTTTCTTTTTGGTTCAAGTAAGCCATGGTTTGGCTTCGGCATTTGGTTATTGATGAGGGTGGTAATTGTTTGTGCAAGGCGATGCGTGTGGGAATGCTTCCTGAGCCTACCGTCTTCACCCGAATAGAACGCCCGGCCATTATATCTGTATCTGGCGCAACTTGCAGTCCATATGCAGCAATAATTACCGGGCGTTCTATTCGGGTGAAGATGGTAGGGTCTGAATGGTGACCTGATTCATCATTCAGACCCTGATTCTCTGAAGGTTTCGGTCTTGAAAATTAAAAAGTAGTATTGCGGGGTATCTCGTGCTGATTCAGATAGGGGATCTCACTTGTCAATTAAGCTGGATTAGCAAGTAATTAAGGAGCGTAGATTCGGACAGGGGATCTTGTGTTGTGGGTATCTTGTGTAGATTCAGACAGGGGTATCTTGTGTGGATTCAGATGGGTATCTTGTGAATATTTCACCCTTGAAAATTAAAAAGTAGTATTGTGGGGTATCTTGTGTAGATTTAGACATGGGATCTCTCTTGTCAATTAGGCTGGACGAGGTGATAGGGGATACTCAGCAACTCTATTCATCGTTCAGATCTTCGTCCTCTAAAGATTTTGCCGCATGGATGACGGGGCAAAAGCTTTCTCAAGAGTAACTCGAGCAATACTCGCGTGAATTGGGCAGGTTAATGAGCGGAATTTCAAGGCATACAAGGTTAATCAAACAAATCTGAAAGGTCTTTATAAATGAGAAACTTATCTTTGATAAAGACTGCAGTGGTCGAGGAGGAGGAGGAGGAGGAGGAGGAGGAGACGAATAAGGAGAAGAAGAAGAAGAAGAAGAAGAAGAAGAAGAAGAAGAAGAAGAAGAAGAAGCTTGGACTGGTATGTGACAGCTGGTAAGGAGTCGCTGACTGCCAGTGGTGCAACCATGCAAATTTGTATATTTATATGGATTCAAATTTCAAACTGTGATAATTGTTTCCACTCAATTTGTATCTGTGCAGATTATGGCCAGCCCATCTCCAGGAACAAGGGAGGGATTTGTAGCGGTTGTGAGAATGGCTTGGACCGTATTCATTGTGAACACTACCGGATCGGCATCTACAGGGACTCTAGGAGCACAGATGTTGGTGGATGATTCGGCGGCAAGGGCATGTTTGGACAGGGCAATCGAAGGGAACTCTATCCACTTCCTTGTCAATGATATCTTGCGAACTCCGGCTTTCCAGGTGCTTGTTGTTGCTATCGTTGTCGTCGTCCTGCTCCTCCTCGTCTGATGTTTTCTGGTCGTTCCTCGCTCCCTCTGCGTTGTACATGGATCTGGCCACTATGTATGGCACTGTTCATGCCTCTGACCTCTGGTAATCATTGGACAACGAGGCCATGGTTTATGGCATGATTCATGTTGGCATTTTCCTGTGCTATGATGTTCTTTTCTTACCACGTCTTACCATCCCCGGGCTTGATTATGTTCATGATCAAATCTCCACCCATCTCGGGGAGCAGGCCAATTCCTCAACACTCAGCGGCCGTCTCCTCTGCTTGGCTACAGATACTGCTGCAGTCCACCACAGGCGCCACTGTCTGTGCCAGTATGACTATGATGCCCTGGTTTCTGCAGTCATGTGCAGAGGGCTGCCCCTACTTTCTGGACTGTGTCCTCTGTCTGGACTCGAGAGCATCGCATGGCCATTTTGCAGCCTTTAGTTAAAAGATATGTGGCAAGATATATCACGTGTGAGTTGGCGAAGGTCCAAAAAGAACAACAGTATGTAGTAATACCTGTATTTTGTTCCCCTCTCCCTTTCTGTCAATAATGGTTCACAAGGTATTTCTGTTTTTGTGTCGATTACCAGTTATTGATCAATTGTTTTAAGTAATTACTCACATATTTTACACATGACAAATCACTGAAATCAGTCGATTGTCTAATCAACCAACCATCACTGGAATTCTTGGAAGTTAACCTGGTGTAAGGTTTATGTTTAAGAAGAAAAAAACTTTGAAAACTTCAGAAAGGCGAACTTCAAATGGTTGTGAATAGCCCTACCGTCCGTCATTATGGCTAAACTTTTGTGCAACTTCGAGTCCAGGTACGGCCATAATTGCCGAGTGTTCGGTTCGGGTGAAGACGGTAGCGCGGCGAGTGCTGGAGTCCTGGGGCTATTCTATTGAGCTGGTTGTCTTTCTCTTGTTTGTTCACTTTTCCTGATGCAGAATGACGATCCAGATCTCATCAACATACACATGGTCTACCTTCACAAGATGCTGCTCTGTTTCTTTACACACTCTGTCGGTCGAGACAAGGTAGGGGGGATTCTGTCTGGTCAAGCCTGTCTCCTTGAACAAGGCCTGCGTGAACCTTGCTTTGAGCTTGAATCGCTCAGATGGAGAAAGTAGTTATGGGTTTGGTCTGTTGCATTGATTCGTTTTGTTTAAAGTATTTAGTCAATTTGTTTGTGATCCTTTTGTGGATTTGTTTGATTCCATTAATACTATAATGTAATAGACAATTATGCTGCCAAAAGACTAAAGACACATGTACAACTACCTGGTCCGAGAGCAATGAATGAAAGCGCACATCTATGTGACCTCCCAATTTGTCTGATGCCCCGTTCCGCCCGCGCATCTTCACGCCCATCAGCCCTCCCCAGAAAACTATTGCCATGAAGGGAAGATGATTTCCGACCTGAGTTTCAGTTGACGTTCTATTCTCAGTGCCATGTTCTTTAGTCTCCCCGCTGCCAGAGTCTGGCGTTGCTGACAAAGTTTTTTTTATTGCATTACCGACTTTCACTTTTTCTTTGTCTGACTTTCCCTTTTTGATTCTGGTTCAGTAGCGTGTTTATATTATTTGATTTTTTCTTTTATTTAAAATATAATTTGGACCGTTTCTCGATTTATGTGTGTCATCCTTGTGCAGGGGCCATGCTAATCTTCTGTATCGTTCCAATTTTTGACGGACGTCTCAAAGGACTTCAGTATTTTCTTTTTTATGCGTCTTTCGACCGTTTTTTCCAATCTGTTTGACCACTGTATTTATGTAAATTATTTTGTGTATTTATTTTTTTCTACACAAGGGGACAATTTCATGTCTGCATGGAGTTTGCTGTCAGAATGAAAACGGGCACACAGTGCATGCGAACTGAACCCAACTCTATTTCAGTTAATCAAGCCATGTGCCATCTTTGTTGGCGGAATTGGAACTGCCACTTGGCACTCTGCAACTCGTGGCGCTGTGCAACTCTCTTCCAATTCATTATCCTGTGGTGTTTGGGAAAAATCCTTTCAATTCATCATTCTACACATTTTTCCATGGTGCAAAATAATCGTTCATTCTTTTCCACACACACTTTATTCTTTAGGTGGCGCCCATGGCGTGATAGAAATGCAAAGAGGAGGGAGATATGATACGCATAGGCTGGCAACTCCCCGATCACTCAGTACGGCAATGGAGAAGAAATCAGTGTACAGATTGAGAGGCTGGTAGGGCAAGTGTTTTAACCCTGTAGGAGAATCAATAGATTGGGTTTGTAGTTTCCTTCACCGCCTATTGCGACGCCAGTGGTTGGCAGGGAGCGATCAGAGACTCTTCTGCATCTATGATTATGATACTATAGAAGTTCAGAGACTCTTCTGCATCTATAATTATGATACTATAGAAGTTCCTATTCATCATAAGGAGGCTATCTGGGCCATATGCCGTTCACGGTTGCCAATGGTCGCGAATGGCCCAGATTCGAAGCCAAGCACCAATAATTCAGACTGGTCCCGGTTCTGTGCGGTTCTTGTGCATGGACAGCTCAGATGCTCTGTGTTACGGACTTCGCCAGGGCTCGATCCCTGGTCTATCTTTTGCTGTTTCGGCTGTACCCCGTTTTCGGCCTGGCACTCTTTTTCCAAACCCCTCCTTTGGTACCGTAAGATTTTGGACAACTGGCGCCATGCTGCAATTCGGGCGCCACTTTCAAATACTGCATTTTTCAGTTCTGCCCTCGGGGCCTTT